TCACAGCAACCTCAAACTCCTGGGCTCAAGCGATCCTCCTACCTCAGCCTCCCAGGTAGCTGGGACTACAGGCACGTGCCACCGTGCCTGGCTAATTTTTTCTATTTTTAGTTGTTTGGCTAATTTCTTTATAGTAGAGACAGGGGTCTCGCTCTTGCTCAGGCTGGTCTCGAACTCCTGAGCTCAGGCAATCCTCCCGCCTCGGCCTCCCAGAGTGCTAGGATTACAGGCATGAGCCACTGCCCCCGGCCTGTTGCCCATTTTTTAAGCGGGTTATTTTCTTATTGATGAGTTTTAAGACTTCTTGGTATATTTTGGATAATAGTCCTTAATCAGATATGTCTTTAACAAATATTTTCTTTTGGTCTGTGGCTTGTCTTATTCTGTTGACAAATTTAGTTTTTAAAATAGATACAGAGCTATTCAGATTTTCTATTTCTTGTAACAGTTTTGGTAACTTTTGTCTTTCAAGGAATTTCCTCATTTTACCTAAGTTGTCAAATTTACTGGCATAAAATTATCTTTTTAATGTCTCTGATGTTTACTTGTTCATTCCTGGTATTGGTAATATGTGTTTTTTTCTTCATCAGTCTAGTTAGGGGTTTATCAACATTATTAATATTTTCAAAGAGCTAATTTTTTGTTGTATTTTTCTTGTTCATTTTATTTCTGCTCGATTTCCTTTCTGTTAACTTCAGGTTAATTTGCTCCTTTTTTTCCTTACTAATTCTTAAGATGGAAGCTTAGAGTATTGGTTTTAAACCTTTCTTTTCTATTCAAGCTTTTAAACCTGTAAATTTCCGGTTTGCATACTGTATTAAGCATATGCTACAAATGTTGATACGTTGTGTTTTCATGTTATTGAGTTTGAACTATTTTCTAACTTCCCTTCTGATTTCCTCTTTTACTGATAAGTGATTTGGGAATGTCTTGCTTAATTTCCAAATATCTGAGAATATTACAAATATCTATTATCAATTTCAAATTTAATTCTGTTGTGGGCAGAGAATTGATTCTGTGTGATTTCAGTCCTTTGAAATTTATTCATACTTGTTTAAGGCCGAGTATATGTTGGTGAACGTTCCATGTGGACTTCAATGTATATTCTGTAGTTGTTAGATGTAGTGGTGCCTTCAGTTGGCTTTTTTTTTCTTTTTT